AACACTGTAAACTGATCTCTAGAATTCAAATCTCTGTAAAAGTATGAGTGGTTTTGATTTTAGTGAACATCATCGGATTTACTGTAATACTAATAGGGATAAGGTAATCTCCATTTCTTTTGCTTTTTTCACTTTCACACATGCACACATAAGTCAGAAAATATAAATGTTAATGTCATTCCCTGGACTACATAAAATAATCTCAACATACAAATGCAAAGTGACAGTGATGCTCTCATTATGATCAGCCCATGCTTTACTCGTGGCATCTGCTTGTAACATCAGGTGTTTCTTTAATGAACATGCGGCAAAATCATTCACGATTGACTGGCTGCTCATCACGATAAGCAGCAGTGACATGGCCCGTTTTTCATCCTCATGTTATTCACAGGGGGGGCTTTGTTAATCTGAAACGTCACCATCTACCATGTCTATTTATAACCAAAGTCTGACATCGTGGCAGATGATGTCATACTTTCGTTTGTGTGTGCACAAACGCGAGGCTATACAGGACTATTCAGCAGGGAGAGAGGTCTCCTGCATGTACACATTCATTGTTGAAGCGCGGGTCAGCGAGCTCCAAGCTAAGTTTAATCAGTTAGGAATTACAGCTGTGAAGATGAATTGAGATAAAACCATGAGAGACAGAAGAAAAACCCACGTGTCACTTCCTGCAGTGGGAGGGAAAGGATTAGGCTAATAGCTGAGGGAAAGTTTATATAAGGGGGAAAAAGTTCAGTTCTTTCGATGAGAGAAACTTTTGTTGAATAACCGATATGTGAGGCAGCCCTTGGGGACTGAGATGGTGAGCTTTTGTACTTGGCACTTAGGATAGAAGACTGATAAAGGTAGTTTAATACTCATGGAGGCTTTCAGGCAAGGGTTTTAATGTGATAAGGATTATATGAACCGGAGAGCTTGGCAGCTTGACTCTTAGGTAGTGAATTAAACTAATGCTCACCGATGAATAGCAAAGTAATAAAGACAGCTTTATTATCACAGGGACTAGTAGTGAATGTGGTGGCAGTCCGGGCCAATATATGACTCAGACTGAAGGGAATCTAGCTCAGCTGTCACTGAAGAGCCATTGTTGGAGTGAAATAAAGAGCTGTATTGACTCCCCTCATCTGTTGGTTCTCTATGGGACCTACTGGTGTGGTGTAGTGGGAGGATGGATGACATGATGGATGCTACACCTCAAAGTGTCATGGCATTTTTAAGAAAGTAGGTGGACCCAACGGCACTGTAGCCAGTCCCCAAAAATCATCTAAGCTTAATTTCACAGTACATCAACGGACTGAATTTTATGTTGAGCTGGCTGTGAAAACAAATCTCTCTCTGGGATAACAAAGACTAAATCTAGCAAATGAATGTCAATGCTAATCTGTGTATGACCTTTGTGAGTTAAGTGCTTAATCCATTACACAATTATTCCAGCGATAGAAATTGATTGACTACTATTTTAATGATCAATTAATGACTTATCAAGTTTAATTCATTAAGAATAAATGGCAAAAATGTGCTCACTAAACTTCTCCAATGTGGGAAGTTTCTGTCTTTCTCATATTTATATCAATATATAATAGTTTGTATAGTTTAGTTCGAAAAAAAATATTTTAAAATTTTCCTCTAGATTTCTAGAGTCCTTATTGATTATAGTGACATTTGAGTTTGGATGCAGATAGAACCTGCGTTATTAAAGTGACTAAATCCCATCCCTAGTCCAACGTGTCATAACAAAATTTAGTCTGCACATGTCACCCACTACAGCTAATCCTGCAGGCTAAATCCTTGCCATCACCCACTCCAGTGTGCACAGAATTGAGATGTTGAGTCATTGCAATAGTTAGTGACTAAGGTCATCTATTTGTAAAATTGTCAGAGATGAGAATGTTTCCCCAAGACATCCAGCATTGTGGTAGTCAGTGTATGTTCTATATTAAGTCTAGAGTACTCGAGTGAGGATGTTTGTTAATGAAATGTCGACAGCCAAAGTCATCTTTACTGGCACCACATCTGCCAATTCCATTCACACAATTGAATATCAAGACTTCCCTGAGTTTTTAATCAAAATTTCTATCAAACATGAAAAGTCCAACAAATCCAGCCCCCAGCAAATGTTCAACACAAATGAGTTTATTCAAGCTGAGGACGAGCCTGTTTTTTAAAAAAATGACCCAACCATGAGAATATATAGCACAGCTGACTGGGATCTCTCATGCGTAGGAAGATTGAAAAGAAAAAACGGGGGAGGAAAAAAGAAACAGTGCATTTACTCCGCTGATCTCTCTGTTCATTCAGGGTCACATTACAACATGGGTACATCCAGTTCATTAAGCTCAACAAGCTCCGGGTCTCACTGGACTTGCCTAAATGGGAGCCAACATACTTTTGCTAGTGATCTAAGGGACAACACAATGCTGCCAGAGCGACTGGGGAAAACATAGATCTAATTCGCTCTTCCCAAAAAGAGATTTAAAACATTTATAAAAAACAGAGCATTGAAGTTGTAATTGCATGTGGTTTTGGACACCGTTATTGAGGACATGAAATATGTTACAGCAACATGAAAGAGTATTTCACACCAAGGTTCTGCAATTCTGTGTACTGACAATTTTAGTAAATGATAGCTGCTTGATTACACATCTGAACAATTTCAAACATCTGCTTTCTCCGACATTATCACAATGAGACAGCCTACTGAAACTACAACTTCAGAAACTCAGAAGAAAAGAAGAACTAAAAAGGCACCCTACTAAAAGCATCTTTTTGAAACTGCTAATTGGGTTCTCTCTCCGTTCAGCTATGAAATCATCCAGCCTGACAGATAATTTGACACCTTCTGGTCAAGATGCTGCATGGAGAAACTGCTGGAACCTCTACAAGCTTTAAGATGAGGAGGACAGAGTGTGGATGCCCGGTCTCCTGGTTTGTCTTTGCCTAAAGATCTGAGAACCAGTCAACCTAATGATCAAAGCGTATTAAGACTTCAGGGTTGAAATACTCACTAAACAGTGATTTGCTCTTCCAATCCTCCTGCAAAGTACCTTGCATCTGGACACTGCCAGCTTCCTGAGCAGTCTGACCACCTACTAAGCTACCAATCCACCTCTGGCAAAACGCAACAGCTAATAGTAGAGGGCATTTGTGTAGTAGTGCTGTGTCGGTGCAGGTGCAGGGGTGAGGATCTCCAGAGACAGTTAGTGATTCCTTAAACAGACCAGTCCCTAACCTCTAATGACCTTTCCCACATTTCTATTCCTCAGCACTGATTCCACAAGGCTCCAGACTACTGCTGTTTGTGATAGTTGCTATGCACTTGGTTAATACACTGATAATCTGGATTTTCTGACAATGTACAGTCCGGTCACAGAAATTCACTGTGGACCATGTGTACTGTAATAGCACAGACAGAGGCTTGAGATTTAAACTTAATTTACTTGTGAATTAAAGGTAAAAGCATTCAAGTCTCAGGTTTTGACCTGGGAGAAGTCATCAAGGAGTTCGGTCTAGACCTGCTCTATTTGAAAAGTGTCCTGAGATAACTTCTGTTATGAATTGGCGCTATACAAATAAAATTGAATTGAATTGAATTGAATCAAGTAAAAAACATTGTTGACACAACTTTGAAAATGTATCGTGCCATGTTATTGGTCATCATTCAGAAAAAACCCAAATCTTGCCACCTACTTGCAATTTGCTTATCAAGATTTAACTTGGATATTTCTCCAACGGCTTAAAAACACATGGAGATATCATGAATGAACGAAATAATGAGCATGACACATTTTCTTCAAACTCAGTGTTAAATGTGTGTCCTGTTTGCAACACAAGTCTCTGCAGCATCAGATTGTGCCACATTTCTGAGTCTGTTTAATCTAGAGTGCTTTATTTTTCTCCCCAGAGCCCATCCTGTGTTCCTAAATGTTGAGAGAGGGCGAACGCACAGATGGGGCCGGAGAAAAGCCAGACATGTGTTGTATAACACATACACACATTCACACACTATATTGTGTCAAGAATGCACAGTGCAGATGCAAACATGAGCCAGCATACACAAAAGAATGTACACTGACATCACGAGCAAGCAAAAATGTCTAAAATGTTTGTTAAAGCCAGCACAAACACATGCGCAGCTTTATGAGCCAATGAAGAGAACACTGCCAGCAGGAGCCAGTGCATCCGCACATGAGGTCAGGCTGGGAAGGACAGATGATGATGCACGTCAGACTTTAATAGCCAGGGGACCCCAAGGTGCTCCCCTGGGTGCTGTACACATAACCACGACACAAACTCACCCAAAGCAACAGAGGAGGGCGTACGCAAAGTGAAAGAGTCTGAGAAGTTGGAAATGAATAAAAAAAGACTGAAGATAAACAGAAATAAAGTTTAAAGAGAACATTCAGCAGTGTTTTTTTTTATAAAAGAAAGAGTCTTCCATGCAATGGTTCTCAAACTGTGGTCCGTGGACTAACATTGGTCTGAGAGTGGATTGTATGGAGTCCCAAGCAAAAGGAGGAATAGAATATTTGAACTTTTATCAAATTTATTGGAAGTTGAAACAACAAGAAAAGAAAAAGGGTTTGCCGTTTTGATTGATCGTAACTATTTGTGGTGATCCTAGTTTGATTATTGATTGACTTAGAAGACTTCAAACCAACTTCTTTAAACCTAAAACTAAAAGAATACTCAGAGGGGACAAAAACCTCTTCAATTTGGTGGGATAACGGCATTATATACTGAAATATATTGAAAATATATTGTGTGACATAAATTGTTTGTCATATTCAGATATAGCTTGTGTAATATGACTTTGACATGCAAAAACACCGGAAGGATTTATAGATCATACTTCAATAGGTCACATACTTTTTAAAGCATAATCCATACTTATATTACTTATTCCACTTATTGTTGTGATATCTGACTGAGTAAGTTAAAATGGTAAAGTATCTATTTTATCACCATATTAAGTGCATACTTTTCTGAAACATTTGTACCTGAATTTGGAGTCTTCTTCATACTGGGTTTGAAGCTGGTCCACTTCTCTCAGTCCTCGGTACAGAAGCAGCGCTTTGGTCCTCAGAGGAAAGCGACCGTCTCACGCGGTCCGGACGTTTAAAAAAACTGGAGTTGACTTTGTTGTGTCGGTTTCGTCGCTGCACTTGTTCTTATGGAGCTCGCTCACCAGTGCGTGATGACTCTGAGGACTGCAGGAGATGCAGAAGTGCCGTGCGATCCGCTGAGCTCGATGATGTGCCCTTTAGTGGGATGATAAAGTCTCGAGACCGCACGACCATGATAAAAGAAATCGTGATGTGAGCACACGAGGGGGGGGGTTACGCGCAGATGGACGCCTTTTACGCACGGATCCCAATTTAGGTTGTACAGTATCCGTCCAGTGTTGGTCTCCTTACACAAAAGCTATTATTATTATTATTCATTCCCAGCAATGGATATGTGCGGCCTGACATAAAATATATGTGGTCTAATCAGATAAACACATTATTCTGATATGTTTCATGAAATATATGTATGAAATATATGTATCTTGCGTTTATCATGGATTTAAAAAAGTGTTAACAACGGATATTTAACTTCAATTGAATTTATGTGTATCATGATGTTATGGAAGAAAGGTCAGCTACCGACTTTGATAGATAGATTGACTGACTGGTGTGGGGGGTGGACTTGAGTACCGAATAATGATGGAAAGCGTCTTACAGCTAAGCAGACAGTATATGTTATAGACATACACTCGTTATGTTATGGACAACTTGCTGTGTCATGGAAACTTAATCATCACCTTTCATATACCTTTGGCATACATCTCTAATCAGTCTCATTGTATGCTCATACAGACATACCAGCATATACGTGCTGATGCTCTGATGCTTGATGCACATTGCAATGCAGTTCAACAACAAAGTTAACCTTGTGATCATTCTAAATGTGCACACCTGTGATTGGATGCAGTGGCTAGTAACATGTTAAGGTTATGGTTGAAGTCTGCCATGGAGTATTTACTTTTGCTTTATGTGAGAAACCTGTTTTCTTAGTATACACACCTGACCTTGCCCTGGTGCTCTGGTGGCTCACCTGGGGTTCAGGTCAGACCTGTGGCACTTACTGCTTGTCGCCCCCCAAAACCATTGACAGTATGATAGAAACATAGTCTACTGTCAGTTGCAGTAAAATGACTGTCCGATGCTGCCCTCTTCTGGAGGAAGGAACATGGATGTTGCAGCAATATTAGGATCTTAGACTCAGACCATTTCACTTGTTATAGCAGGAAAAGCACAGGTGGAACTAATAGCACTAATGATGGTACCCAAGCAATCCGCACTGCCAGTGAGCCAGCATGCACATCAGCAGGGACCTGGAGCATTTAATGGATTAACAGCATACATTAATAGGCCTATACAGTGTTCATTCATATACATAACATTCATTTATAAAGCAAATAATATTCAGAACAATACAATAACGACATGTGAATATGTCTTTGTGTGTGTGTGTGTGTGTGTGTGTGTGTGTGTGTGTGTGTGTGTGTGTGTGTATTATTGGCAGATCCTCCAGATATTAAGATGTAAAGAGTTTAGCAGCAGGCATAGTAAAAGTCTGTTTAGTTTCAGTGGAACAAGCATGGTATGTTGTATTACATTACATTCATTATTAATAGTTGTTACAGTTTTGATGTAATAGCCAGTCCCTCCAGAAAAATGTTGCGGGCAAAAATCCTTGATTATGCGGCACGTTTTCTTAAAAAATGCGATGAAATATGCGGCATATTTATGCAATTTTATGCGATGAAATTGCGGGAACTTGCAAAAATTGCGGCAACTTGCAAAAACTGCAGTTTGATGAAAAAGAGGGGGAAAAAGTGATTCCCCCAACACCCTGTTCTCACTAGGCTACTACCTTAATGTAAAGAGTCATTTCTTATTACTTCCTATGATAAGCAAGCATACTACATCACAGAAAGTGCTGGGAATATTTAAGTTCTCATCTTGTTTTATTTCAGACCTTAATAAACACATGGCTCAAACTTACAAAACATTGATGAGTCAAACAAGTTCTGTAGTTTACAAAAGGAATATGCTACAACTTCTGTAAAAATGAATAAATAAAATATAAAAAAAAATAAAATGTGTGCTTCCTGTTTTACAGAGGAAGCTATACAAAACAGACATCTTCTGTTAAAATAACTCATAATTATTTTTGTTGGCAAATGAGACTGATTTGCGGGCTTCATCGTGGCTTCATCGCGAGGTTTGTAGCTTTTCGATGACGCTCACGTCGCGTAATTACGTCACTCATAACGTTCCCATGGCAACAGGGGAAAATGGCTGCTCTTGTGTGAAGTAGACGCAACATTTTTCAACTTTCTGCTAATATATATGTGACTTTTTTGCAACGAAAATGCGGGGATTATGAAACCATGCAAGCCCCGCATATTTTGCGCGGAAATCGGCAATTTGCAAAAGTGCGGCGTATTTGAAGAAATGCGGCCACCGCATGAAAATGCGGACTTTGGCTGATTATGCATTGAATTATGCGATCACATAATCGCGTTTTTCTGGAGGGACTGAATAGCATCACATCAACAACTTGGGAGCAGCTGTGGCTCAGGTGGTAGAGCATGGTCGTCTAGTAATCAGAGGGTCTCTGGTTCAATTCCCAGTTCCCTCAGTCCAGTCAAAGTGTCCTTGGGCAAGATACTGATCCCCAAATTGCCCCCAAAGCTTGTGCCGTCAGTGTGTGTGTGTGTGTGTGTGTGTGTGTGTGTGTTTACTGGAGCAGTTTCAAGGTGCCAACTGCTTATCAAGTATGAATGTGTGTGTGTGCGTGTGTGAATGGGTGAATGGGTGAATGTGACAAGTGGTCAGTACTACACTAGAATTCAGCATTAAAAAAACATAATCCAAGCACAAGATTCAGCAACTGAATCTTGTGCTGGATATGTTAAATATGAATGTGTCAAAATAAACACAATTATTTTAAAATTAGAATGTAGCATAACATTTTTTACGAAGGATTATATATATGTAGGATGAGGGAACAAATGGGACACAACCAAACTTTGAGGCTCACATGTTGCTTGGATCACCTTATAAACTCACAGTGAGGGGTTACAATAAAGTGTCTGTTTAAAGGTTAAAGTTAATTTGACTGTTGCTGCCATCTCCTGGTAGGACTATGTCAGCTGTTTAACTTGGGGTTAAATCTTTAAAACACATTGACGTGGGGTCATATTAAAGCTCCATCCATGTCTACATGTTAAATTTAACAAATTAAAGACACAACTATTTCAGTTTGGCTTTGATGTGCCCTTAAAAAAATTGATTTGTAGCCGGGTTTATAATATGAAGAGAGTTTGGAAAATGTCATCAAAAAACAGGCAGGTTGAAGCTTGAAAGTTATAGTTAGTTATATGGATCAGGAAGTAAACTCAGATTCAGCTGTGACTCTCTTTCAGAATGTTATTATAAAAAAACCCACACAAAAATTCCACCATGTTATTTGGGTCAGTGGTAAACTATGAAGGTGTAAAAACCACAATGATTTGAACAACATTGTGTTTAGAGCATGTGCTCTTATTTGAATAAAGGATCAACATTTTATCAAGTTATTCCAGGGTAAACAAGCTGCAACTCAACTCACTCTCAAACTGTTTTATCATTATCACTGTTGTTGTTGTATTTGCTTAACTTTGCTGTAATGTAATGCCTGTGGTCTAGTGTAGCATGCACTTCCTGCTCTTGACTGATAAGCATGTGTGTCAAAGTCAAAAATAAAATGAAATAAAATAAAAATGCAAGCAGGAGTGTTTGACAGAAACATAATTCTGGCATTGATGGGGGGGGGCTAAAAAGAGAGAAAAAAAAATCTAAACTGATATGTTAGTTAATCTTAAGCTTTTATTGAATATTCTACATATGTTTGTACACACTTATGCACTCTTGAATATCACATGTGCAGATAAAAGTCAAGAAGCTGTTATTTTAGAAACTGCTTTACAAATATCATTCTAAAGTTTAAGTCCACAGTGCAAATGTTGCATCATATTCAGTAGCATTGTTTGATAGGAAATAATGAACTATAAATGCAAAATACAAAATATGAAACACATTATTCATTGCTTTATAGTGATACACAAAAACAATTATCAACATAAAACTGATTAACAATATATGAAACTATTAACTCCTTTATGAATATATGGATTATATTAGATTTAAGATATATGAGAACTTTACCCTGTAACTTGCAAAAACAACCATCACATATATCCCATCCCCCTCATCATGTTAAGTATGTGGTTTGGGCCCACGTGTCATGCCTCACACCGTCCGACACAAACTTTAAAAATATCTGCGCCAGATTCATATTCATTTTTCTAACAGCTACATTAATCTGACCACGCACACTTTTAGGTGGTACTTTCACAACAATGAAACACTTTTAGGAGTGTTTAGCTGTTAAACATATGAACTACGTATTTTACTTTTTGTCTCATGATGATTTAAATCACTTGAAACATTCCATTAAGCAACAAACAATTAAAAAGTAAACCAACCCTCACCACGGCAATAACATTTGATGTTACAATGCTAAGCCAAATCACATGGACTTGGCGGTGACCGCTCTGGAGCTGCTAGAGAGCAAAAGCCGTTCTTGGTCATAACTTCATACACATAATCATTGGAGACCCGCGGGACCCGTTCTCTTCTTCTTCTGTTGCTAGTCCATTGTTTCACCTGTTGGTAGAAAAATATCACTGTAGAGATTGTCTGCATGGTATGAAGGTGTGTATAGATATAAGAAAGTCACATTCATTATGCAAGAAGACTTTTTTAGAAAGAAATTCAAGACTGAATTTTAGGACAAATGTTGACAGTCGAAGTGAATATCACAGACTACAATCAGTTGTTGGAATCAAGATCTTGTAAATTAAAATATTATTAATTATATCACTTTTTATTTTTATACTAAAACACTTTTCACTACTAAAATGTAGTCTCAATTAATTTAAAGAAACAATTCTGGAAAGAACGGTGGAAAGAATGTCTGTGTGTGTACACTTCAATAAACCTGCACCCACATCCTGCAGATAGAGCGTTAACACAGTCAACATCTAAACTGAAGCTCTCAGGGGAGCAAACCTTATATGTACAGTTGGTTGGTTTTGGGGGGCTGCAGTGACTGATTGTCTAGACTGATAAAGATGCACATGTAGAGGAAATAACATCTGCAGACACAGGAGGTAACCACCACTGAAGCTGGCACAGCTCCTTGAATATTTTAGTTCAGGCACAAAGCAGTGTGTAGAGACGTCTGAACTCACCCTCGGGAGGATCAGCAGGATGAAGATCACAGTTACCAGTGTGCTGCTGGCGATGGTGGCAATGATGATTAACACCAGAGGCTGACTTTTCTTACTGGTAGAAGCACAGGGCATTCCTGTGTGAAATGACAAAAAGGACAACATGGGTTACACCAAATAAAAATCTATCATCTTCATGTAAATGTTGATTCCATAGCATTTGTAACACAGCTTAACTATATTTTTTATTTTATAAATTTGCAAAATGACAATGAATTCTCCACAGACCTGAAGCAGGATGCTGCAGGACGTCACACAGTTTGCAGACAACACCACTCTCATTGAGTCCACCTGCAGGTGGGAAATTAACCAACTGACTCTTATCCCACTCCTTAGTCACTACACATTACATTAACAAAAGGTCTATGCCACCGGGTCACTATGTGTTACACTAATGCATATCTCTTGGTCAACATCTTGCACATTACAAATACTCTTCATACTTCATACTTTGAACTTCTGCACATTGCCTGGTTACTATTTTACAAATTCCTGCACAAAGCTTTACAGTTTGTTCACATTTTTATTGTTTAGTTTCCATTTATGCTTATTGACTTGAAGAACATTCCTTTTATATATTTTTTATATTTACCTCTATGTTTATTGTTACATGTCTATGATTGTTACACACCAAAACACCAAGTATAATTCCTAGTATGCAAAAAATACTTCTCAATAAACATGATTCTGATTCTGTGAAGACCTCTCAAACTAAAAGAAGCTAAATATTACCTTTACGTGGTGACAGACACACACCACAATGTAAAAATACTAGTCCTACATTTGAATATTCTACTGAGGTACCAGATAACGTTATCAGCTAAATAAGTTAATACTTAATTAGCTACTTAATTATAATATTCTGCAGTCCTAGACACCTGGGTCATCTTAAAACAGAAAATTGCTTTTAAACATGATTCTGAACCGATGACATGTTTCAAAAATCTGCAACAGACAATAACACATTAATTCTATTTGGGGTCTCAGAAACCTCAGCAGTAAAACAAGAGTAATACAGTGATTTTTCATACGATATGAGTATTATGACGCTACGAGGTCTAATTGGAAATTAAACCTCCACAGAGTCTAACTGACTCCAAACACAAGGCATGTCACTATGTTGGATAACATAGAGTACATTTCTTTCAGTAATTTCTTGGTAAAATTTCTTTATTTTGCCACCTTCATCAAATGTGCAAGTTGAGTTGCCACTTCAATCTGTTTCAACATATTGGCTTTTTATGCTCAGAAGAAAAGCAGGGCAAAAAAATAAAAAAAAAAAAATGGTGGATTTTGCAAATATCATTATCTTTCACATATATACAGCAGTGGGTATATTATCACAAATAAAAGTGATACTATTACCCACGTTACTACTTTTTGTGAGACTACATATCATGGATTTATCAACATGTAGGCAGCATTTTAATAGTGTATATTTCATATCTGGTTGAGAAGGGGCCCATTCTGTGTACTGTAGTATCATGTTTTATAAATTCACTATGTTTTAAGTAACTGGTAACAGTCATTACATGTAGTGGAGGGAAAAGTGCCCTATAAATCATTTCTCGCTAAAATGTACTAGAAGTATGAAGTAGAATTAAATTACACGGTTAACTGAAAAAGGTACTTATTCTATGAATGCACTGTACTGTACTTGAGCTACTCTCTACTTACTACATTTGAGAGATGACTGTGTGCAGTTTTTGAAAAGCAAAAGGAAAAACGCACCTCCAACAATAAGTGTGTAGACATTGCAGCGAACTTTATCACCGGGAAATTTGATGAAGGCACAGCGGTATAAGCCAGTATCATCCACGGTCAGGTTGCTGATGGTAATGGTGTGGTTCTTCAAAGGTCCTTCTGTCTGAGTCCTGTTTTTGTATCTTGGTCGTGGGGTGATTTTGTCAGCTGTTCCTGGCTTAGAGTGAAAGTAAAGCACCTCATCTAGCTCCTTAAACTCGTGATACAAATACATGCCAGTATACCCTTCAATGCTGCTCGGACATCCTGCAGAGGAACATTCCAACGTGATGCTCTCGCCAGACTCTTTATACACTGCAGTGTTGTCTTAAAAGAGACAAACTGTCTGATTAGAGGGTCAAAAAGCATACAGCAAGACACAACCATCTGCATTATTTAAACACTGAACAAGTTGCAGTGTTTCTGGAAGCAGCAACTGAAAAAAACTACTTTAATTTAACACAATTTAACTGGTCTAGTGAACATTGTGGCAGACTACAACTGCGGCAAAATGTTCTCGATTGAAAGGATTGAAATAATGAAATAATTTAAGAAAGGTAAATGGTCATACCTTTTGCATTGGCGAAAAGAGAGAGCAACAGTATGAACCAACATAGTCGCATCATTTTGTAGAACTGACTGTGTACTGTCTTTGTTTCTGACATATATACATGCAGATAGTGCAAACAGTCCTTCCTGTGCTGTTTGATGTGGGGTGATGATATGAAACCTGTTAGACAAAATCATTTGATTTCAGTCTTCTCCTTATGATCCACAGATAGTAATACCTTTAGCTTGGTGACAATGTCATGATGAAAACCAGACAATGAAAATGTGTAGGTGAAATCAAAGGTAAAGGCTAAACAACTTCTTGAATTTGAAAAATGTGTTAAAGGTTTAAAAATTAATAAACATAACATAATAGATGTAATAACTATGACTTTAGATAATTTATTATACTTCATAGAAGTATTAGGTGAGCACAACCTCTAATGGAGGTTGTTAAATACAATAAATATAAAATGAAAGATTTGCTATGGCCATGACAGCTGCTTGTGACACGCGCGGCACGTTCACACCGACAGCCGTCAGCTGCGTGGCTGCTGCTTTATGTTTCCCTATACACTTTTCCCTGTATAATGCTGTAGAATGTCCATGAAAAACAGGATTTTCATATAATTGAACTTACGATGCCATGTAGTTTAAACGTAAATGTGAAGAGTAAAAGAGCGATGCAAGCCATATAAAGCTTTATCATAACAGCATACAGTTGGGTTGTGTGCATAAATGCGTAACGCACCCAACCCAGCTGTTTACTGTTATTATAAAGCTTTATAAGGCTTTATTTTGGGTGAATGTCTTGTTGGAGTGATTTAGGCAAGCTGAAGGAAGCAGGATCACAACTGACGTCACCTGAGGGGAGCCGCCAGCAGTGATGGGAATAACGGCGTTATAAATAACAGCGTTACTAACGGCGTTACTTTTTTCAGTAACAAGTAATCTAATTGATTACTCTTCCCATCTTAATAACGCCGTTACTGCCATACTACATACTTACTGCGGCGCGTTACTATAATTGAAGCTGTTTTTTTCATCAGACCAACTAGATCTCTGAGCCGAGAGACAAAGACCTTTTTTTTCCCCCTGTTCTTCGTCGGTTAGTGGGCAATGCACGAGAGCGCATAAATGCTGACGATTGGCTGAGGTTGAGTAAAATTTCATGGTAAGCCAATCAGAGGTAGAGCTGGGCGGGTATTCGAAAGCACGCATAGTCGGACACACAACAAACAACACAAGCGAGTGAGTCAACGAGAGACAGGTATGGCGAGCCCAAATAATCCAAAAGTAGCCTTCTCTAAATGGAAGTAGAGCCATTACTTTTCCCTCCAAGAAATTAAAGGAACGAATGTAATCGTGAAATGCACATTATGCTATTATTATTATGTTAGATTGAAAGCACCTCATATTGTTACACTGTTCTACTTTTTCGAGGAAGAAAATACTTGAAGTACGGTATATCTACCAATTGTCTGAAGTTTTTTTTTTGTTTTATTTGCACTACAAAGACGGTATATATTTGTTATTTATATTTGGTATAGTGTTATTTGTATCGATCCACTATATAAACATAATGTCTACATACATGGCATTTGATTGGAGGCTAGTCTCACTTTGTCCCACAGCAACATTAAAATAGTTTAGATTTGTGTACGTTGTTTCTGTTAATAATGTATTGTATTAAGTGTCCATTTCATTATAATATTCAGATTTATCATAAATAATTGAATATGCACATGTATTTTAAGTTCTGTTAAAGAGGGGTGGTGGTGGGGTCACATTTGAGCATTTAAAAATGTACTTGAAAGTGACGCAATAGTTACTTTCTCAAGTAACTAGTTACTTTTATAATTGGTAACTGAGTAACTAATTTAGTTACCTTTTGGAAGAAGTAACTAGTAACTGTAACTAATTACTTTTTTAAAGTAACTTGCCCAACACTGGCCGCCAGGAGTTGCACCTGCAGAGAGAGATTTGTGGGTTTGAGACACATCGTGAACGACAGTCAAGACAGCCGACCCAGTTTTTTGCTGTACGTGATTATAGTAGCTTTACGGTAAAATGCGTTTCAGAACTGGTTTCAAAATAAAAGCCCGTCAAAGTGTCAAATATGAGACTTATTACATATGAATTGGGATTCAATTTAAAAGGATACGCCCTGTTATCACAGACTAATTCCACTTCAAGGTTATAGTACACGACCCCATAGTGTGACCCAGTAAGTATCAAGACATTCTGATGTACAGTTACAAATTAAAAGCCCGTCAAAGTGTCAAATATGAGACATATTACATATGATCTTGGATTCAATTTAAAAGGAAACGCCCTGTTATCACAGACTAATTCCACTTCAGGGTTATAGTATAGGAGCCCATAGTGTGACCCATTAAGTATCAAGACATTCTGATGTACAGTTTCAAATTAAAAGCCTGTCAAAGTGCCAAATATGAGACATATTACTATAATAGAATAGGGCCAAAAGGAAAAATGTGAAATCAAACAGGAATAACTACTTGTAATGATTTTAACCCAGTGATAGAATTTTGAAATTGCTTTTAAAGGCATGCAAAAGATAAGTATTTATAACTTGATGTCACAACCAGAACTCTTAATAATACATAGAACATGTTGTACATCAGAAATCTTTACATGGATAGGATTTTAAAAAATATACATCAATCAGAATGTCTTGAAACTTATTGGTCACACAATGGGGTCGTGTACTATAACCCTGAAGTGAAATTAGTCTGTGATAACAGGGCGTTTCCTTTTAAATTGAATCCCAAATCATATGTAATTAGTCTCATATTTGAATCTTTGGTGGGCTTTTATTTTGAAACTGTACATTAGAATGTCTTGATACTTAATGGGTCACACCATTGGGTTCTATACTATAACCCTGAAGTGGAATTCGTCTGTGATAACAGGGCGTATCCTTTTAAATTGAATCCCAAATCATATGTAATTAGTCTCTTATTTGACACTTTGACGGGCTTTTATTTTGAAACCAGTTCTGCGACGCTATTACCGTAAAGCTACTATAATCACGTACAGCAAAAAACTGGGTCGGCTGGCTTGACTGTCGTTCAGGATGTGTCGGCTGGCTTGACCGCAGTGTTTGAGTTGGATTGAACTCACCACGAGGAGAACACGAGGAATTTTGGAGATAAGAAGAGACTGAGAAACTGAGTTTATCTCCCACACCACAACAAACTGTTTGTATTCAACTTTTAACCTGAACATCCGGTTCAATAAAGTATTTACGATTCTGATTCTGATTAGTTGAGATCGCCCCCCGGTGGGAATCCTCAAGTACAACAGTCAAATGAATCTGTGGCTGTATGTCACAAACATTATTGGAAAATACATGCAACAAATCAAGATCCCTGTATGTAAAGAGTAAACCCACTGCACATGTAAAATTGTATTTGTATTATGTTGTTTGTTAAGGAAGTTCAATTATATTAAAATATAAAATGCATTGTATTGTGTGTTGTTTAAGGTATGTGGGAGTTATTTTGTCTGTGGACAACAGTCAACAAACATGCTTGTCGACACAATCTGAGGAATATGTATATGAGAGTATCTGCAAAACAAACAAAAATAACAACAAAACTTTTAGCATTCAACAGCCATAAAATCTTGACTTCAGAGTTTTGGCTTAACAGACAGATATTGAACCTGTTCTGGAAATACATCTGATGTTCAAAAGTGTGTCTGGGTGTACTTGAATGTGTGGATTTACTTACATGAAATGGCCAAAATGTGTAAATCCATGAAATGCTTAGTCTCTGCTGTGAAATCTGAATTTATGAAAAACCTCCTTTAAAATCCATGTCAAAACATTGATTGACACACTACATGTGAAGCTCAGCTTATTGATTCAGTGGGTATAGACAAGCAGAAGTAAAGTTTATTTTCTATCTACAAATATTAATAGATATTCCTAAATGTAACACACCGGACCTTTAAAACCTCCAGCTGCTAGTTCCTCATTTTGAATCTAGCACTGTTTAGTGCACCGCTGCACAGAAAGTGGACTGTTCCTCAAATTGTACAAGAGCTTACTTAGCTTGTTTATAAAAGCAGTCTAAAATGATTCCTTTTCATCCAACTGCACGGAACAGGATCTTATCAAACTCATTATAGCAATAAAAACCCAACTTTGAATGTCAGAAACATTGGTCACCAGGTATTATTTTTAACAGATTTTGAAACTTGGCTCTGTTCAGCCTGGGTAGTTTAAGAGAACCCGTATGGGAACGGTTACTTTTGACTGCAAATGTTTTATTGATATAATGCTCAAAATGCAGGAACAGCTCTGCTGTCCTAACAATGTGTTGCAATGCTCCTTGTCTATCTATTTCGGGTTTGCATGATCTGGATTCTGCAATATTCATCTTGAATCTGGGTCAACGTGATGTAATATCATTATTGATACATTTTATTTACTTACATAATACACCACAAGATTGGCCTGTTAATGAATAACAGAAATAGTGATAAGACACCAGATTTAAAGAGTCAGAAAGTGCTGGTTCACACTAAGAATCACAGATAGCCATTACTCACTATTTATCAGTCATGCAGCATCTGTTACAAAAACTTGATAGTGCTACAGAACTTTTGTTAGCAGAGACCATTTTAAATGTGTGCAAGAATTTTTAAGCCTTTCACTGTTTTATGCACCGATGAGAAGAGAATAATTATTTGTAATCTTTTCAACTGCAGTAGGAAAAACACTGAAAGATCTTGTGTAGTGATACATTGTACTGTAATCAAATGAGCTCATCAGGAAGTGGAACAATGCAAACCAGCCACTGCGTCACATCTTAAAAACAGCCACCAACTTAAAGAGAAGCAGTTTGACACAGAATTTGGAAATGTGTCTAGATATGTTAATATGTTGATGAGAGACAACCTGAAATTTTCCCCTGGAAATGATTTGTGATGTCTGTGTTCACATTGTTTTCTATCATATCTAGACATGTGTACTACCAAAACCCATTAACAAGAACTGCGATTAGTGAAACATAATCTACACAAGTGTGCAATAATAATAAAATAATCATTCACATGGTTCAGTTTGTCAAATTATATTTATTACATAATAGAAAAGCACAGATCAGAAAACAATGTGTTAATCACACCACAACAAATACAGAGTAATTACTGTACTGTCTATAGTTGAGCAACAGCTCTATTTTGACCTGATGAACAACATACAGTGAATTGACTCAGACACACAGAATTAAAATATTCACAGATTTGTAAAAACGGTATATACACAATACATTACTTACAAGTGCATCTACTGAGTTTTGTTAATGGACATTTGTGTTTTTTAAATTTCCAGAATATAAAATTCATACTTTCGTAAAGCTGTTGTTTGTGTCTATCCAATCAGTCAATGATTAACCCCAATGACGCTGTGCTATGGAACCAAGATTAATCATACACCTGCAGATGTTGATAAGGTGTTTTTGTTGAACACAACTGTGGTGTCAAAGCATTTGAGTCCTGACTTGGACTCCAGGATATTTTCTGGTGATCTGCTCCATTACCAAGCTGGTCACATATCAAAATCTCAAAAGGCTCAAAATATGGGCGCACATCCGTCTGAAAGATATCAGATGAAGAGAAAATGAAACCATAAACCTGTTTGCAATGGTAAGAAGATAAGCGATAATTTGGCAACAAAGATTCATACTACCGCCAAGGATTACACAAGCCAAAGACATTTGGAGGAACAAAAACATGTGTTTTAGACTTTTATACACCACATACTATTTCGCAACAGCAAATAAGTGACATGTGAAGATCATGAGACATGTGGAAGTGCAACTTCACCGAGGTAAATTTCTCTGTGGCTAGAAAAGGATATGAAATTTGCAGGGATTGAATATTCTCAGGACAGCCTGTGGAAACACTGACCTTTAAGATAACCAACTGACTTCATTATTTGTCTTGAAGTGGGAAAGTACCAATTTGCTATTACATAATGTGTTTCTACAGACCCTCAAATTATAAGGCTGGTGATATCCTACATTTTCTTTATTTTCTACAAATCCCAAGAAAGGACAAAAGCCAAAAATTAATTGATTTATAGCATATTCTTCTTTGCTATAGACCTTATGTCACAGACGGAAGTTAGAAGGAAGTCCACTCCTGCCAAGCTGCCAAGTGCTACAGTTACTGCGTGGGCTGAACAAAGACAAGATTAAACAAAGATTTTTCCAAGAACAGCAAACACATCTGTTATTCACTGACATCCTGATATCACTATCAAGTTGGTTTTTGGTGATACACTGGGCTCCCACTGGTTGTTTAGGTTTTAAGGTCACAGGACACGATCCATAGCCTTTAAGTGTATGTTTAGATTTAGAATAGATTTAAGAGTGATACTTAATAAGCTTAGATGAGTCCCTCACAATTTCTGTGATAAATCACAGTAATACAAGTTATTCCCAGTTATATACTGTACACACACACACACACAATTGTGCAGTAGGAAAAGTGCAGTGACAGTGGAGTTACGAAACAAGGAAGTGTTGATTTCAGAGGTTGCCAGTAAGTTTGCATATTCGTGTGACTAGTATGCGTCCTGCAGAGAGGGAGTGGGAGAGAGAGAGACAAGAAGAGAGAAAGAGATTTAGATATTTGATATGTTCTTATAGAGTGCCACTGCACACGTTGAAATGGAGGTGAAATTAATCTTCACAATTGTTTGCTTGGAGAATTATTTTTTACCTCAGGCCAGGCTATTTTGGCTTTCCAAATCCATCTGCTGATGATCATCTACAAAAAGAGTTCACATCAAAGCCTGAATTAAATCTTATAGAGTGCCTTTGACAGCAAAACAAAGGTTTATTAGTTAGACACAGTGACATACCTGCCTCATCCCCTGGTATATACGGGACCGCTTGATGGTCACCTGGAGCAAATTAAAAGATGTTACCGTAAGTTACAAATGGTGGGTGTAAAACCATCACCATATTTAGCAAGTTCATAGCATGCAAGCATAGGCAGGTCTCTAGTGATAAGTGTCTTAAATATGAGTCAGGTTATATTGTGATTCAAAAACTGGTGAGTAGTAACCAAGCTCAATTTTCCATCAACCATGGAAAAATACAAAACCTATGTCCAGTGTAATACATATCACAGGACTAGACACCTTTGAAGTCAGAGGAAACCCAGTGAGCAGTTTATATATTATGATAACCAGTTAGTGTAGGGATAGTAAAGTGTTTCGGTGAGTGACCATGTGCTCCAACTGAATTTATGAACAAAGTTCAAAAGGTGGCAGTAGGAGAGCATGTTCGAACAGACATGAAATGAGATCGGAGTAGTGAGTGAGTTTGGTTTTATTTCAAAATATTTATAGTCTGGGAAGCTGACCATATATAAGTATATATATATATATATATATATATTAATCAGTAAAAAATCATGCAAAAGTGAATCTATCAGCAGGTCTGTTGCAGATAGTGTTTCAGGCTGCAAAAACTAGTTGCTGATTGAAAAATCAATAGATAGAACCTTTATTTAAACCTCTAAAGACACACCGAATGTTAGCCGTTCATATCCTGTTAGAAAAGAATAGTATGTTTGTCCAAAATGGACGTACTCATGAGGGGTGCTGTAGAGTGCCTCCGTGCCTCTGAAAAAAAATAATGAATGAATAAAAATGAGTGTTCACTTACTGCAGGTATCTACTTGTACTTACTTCACCAATCTTTGTGAGACATTTTTTAGAACACCGTCTAACAATGGAAAGTGGTTTCACTCTACTGTTTTAGACCAATGAGAGGTTTGTCAGTAGCTACACTGCTTAACCTAACCTAACAATACACGAGAGCGGACCTTCCCATCCTGAATAACACGGCTGCGCACCAGGTGTTCTTCAGGTTTTTCCACTTTTCTGCCATTCAAGCTGCATCTTTTGTATTCTTATTTCCTTTTGCCAATTCATTGTTCACAGAAAGCCACTGATGAAATCCCACAAAACATTTGAGAATGTCAGTTTCCAAAAATATCTCTCCTGGAATATTTTTGAGTGAATACATACATCTGGCATTTTGACATACGTTTATTTAAGTCCAGATACAAGAGCTAGATGTAATTAAAAACAGGGAGTGCATCCCAGTCAAACAGAGAACTTAGAGTTCAGTGCTACAGGTCAATTGCTTAGACATTTGATTTTAGCTAATGAGAAGTTGCTACAATAAAATAGAGTTTCTTAATCTTTCTTGCACCTTTTTGTACATGCTGTGTCGTTACTATTAAAAAATGAAAATTAAATGTATTGTTTCACTCACGTTGGGATCGCCTTCGGTAAACTATCACCACCAGCAGCAATCCTGCGATCAGCGATCCGATGACCACCAAAGGAGCGACGATTTTGGAGGCTGAATTGATCCCTTTTTCTCCTCCCAGCTCTGAATGAATCAAATTGAATAATAATTTTTAGATTCAATGTTCTAATATTTTAAGTCAAGAAAGTAAGAGTAAAGATGGGTGTGCTGTAATGGAAATTATATTATTTTGCTTTTTGAGCTTTGCTGATTTTTTTTTACTGTTCTGCTGCTTCACTGGATGTGGCCACTGTTGCATGTCAGTCTCTACTAAACTTTCAAAGCATTCCTAAGAGGTGGCCCTTATCTTTTCCTGCAGAGATATTGGTTCATGTGAAGTTCAAGTATAAAAACCCTGTTTAAACCACAGGGAGTCTGCACCAGTTGCTGCTTTGCTCTGTGTTGTACTAATCCCTTTAAAAAGGTTTAATAAATAAGGACAAAGTTTAGTTTCATTATTTCAAGTCTCCAATGACAATGCTTGTAAAAATGGGGTATGCGTGTACTGGTGGGAAGTTCCCCCTGTAATACTATTAGCGATCTACATTCACTTTCTCTTTTGCTCCCAGATGGGTCTGCACAATATGTACAATTGCTCTGGGTTAACCCTCGTAAGCAAAGTAGAAAGTAAACAAGGTAGCATGCGGCACCAGGACTGCAACAATGAGACAATGAGAAGGAACAACAGGCACCGATCAAATGATAACCTATCGACTGATTTACTGTATGTGGCAGCTGTGAGAACATAGATAACAGCTTAGCTGTAATGTTCCAAGTGAACCTGTTGATGCCATTAATGAGAATGAATAGTGGATCAAAAACTTCAGTCCTACAACACGAGAACCTTCACCTAGTCTTATCATGCCTGGAGCGTCATGCACAGTTTTCTTTCTTTGTGAGTATTGTTTTGAAGTTTTGATTTCAGGTCAGATTCAGAGACATGTCACAGCCTGGATATTCATTGAATTGTCAATCAAAACAACTACAGCACAGATGAGGGTGACCTCTAGTTGTAGATAAAACAGACCCCCAAATCCCCATTGTTTGTATTTATATGTAGCTGTTGTTTACAAGGTTGGTCCAAAGTTCCTCTTATTTGAGCAATCTTAACTGTGTTATGAAACAGTGGAGACATCCATCTTGCTTCAAATTACAAGTAAAGCATGAGTTTACATGTAACAGTGGGAATTACTGTACGACATTTCATTGTGTGAAGCAGGATTGAGACAAAAAGCCAAAAATGCTTTAAAATGGTTCTTAACAACATATACCTTCTTTTTTTGGTGGTATTTCAAATGTGACCTCATCCTCTTTGTCTCCACTGGCATTGTACACTACACAGGTATATTTGGAGAAAGTGGATCCTCGAAGCAAAGGCAGCTTGCTAGAGAGCTCAAACAGACCACTTTCTGTCTTCTTTGCCTCCATTTGAGCACTCTTCACCCACTCCACGTTGTGCTCATCAAACCAGCTAAGTCGACCTTCTGGGTAGCCACCAGAAGAGATACACACCAGGGTACTGTCTGCGTTTTCAGTAACTGTCTCAGGGACAGAGTTTATAGTTGGTTTCTTGTATTTGGCTGCAAAGAGAAAAAAGAAAAACAAACATGATCATTTAGCTGAACTTAGTACTACGAAGTACAATACATGGTAGGCAAGATAAATAATAAAGAAACTGACTATAATAACAGGTATTTCTGGATGTGTATATCTGTCACAATGAAACAGAAAGTAAGTAAAGCAACAGAGAGAGACAGCTGACACTGCTCAGGGAAATAACAATCTGATAGTCCAGGAAAGTCCCTTGATCTCTAAACAACTTCATTTCATTAAGGCCACAATTAAATCTTTCGGCACGTAAATTTTTTTAGTAGCTAGTTGTTGAAAAGAAACAGAAACAGAAATTTTACTCATGGTTTAACTTTGTGATGAGTTCACAGGGATTAAGAGATACATTCTTGATTCTAAATGGTCTCTCTATGCCAAATAGTTGTCTTAATATTTCAGTGGTCAACCATGGCTGAAGGATCTCACCTCTGACTTTGAGTCTGGTTTTGTTATCGTCAGTACCGCTGTCTGTCATCACCGCACACACATAATCTCCCTCGTCCTTTAAACCAGTGTTGTCGATGAGCAGGGATATGTTCATGTTCTTTTTGTTCCAGGACGGCTCAGCAAACATATAGCCTGGCTGCTGCTTAGTGATCTCTTCTTTGTTAAAAACCAGTAAGGTCTTGTTGTCCTTCTTCCAAGTGACCACTCGGATTGTTACGTCTTCTTGTGTGGTGTCAACTACACACTCCAGCAGTGACTGCTGGCCATACCGTCCCACATTTTCGGTCTTGCATTGCACTTTTATAAACGCTGTAGAGGAAAAGATTTTTTTTTTAAAAAGGGATGAGAAGTTACATCAGTAGCAAACAGCATTTCATACGACACACTCCCAAATATCGCTGAACGTACCATTAGTAGTTGCAGTTCCTGCACTGATGAAGATCAGACTGAAAATACAGATGAAACCAATGGAGGCCATGTTCATTTACCTGAAATGACAGTTAAATTAAACAATTGTTAATGTGGGGATCAATTAAAATGTAACAAACATATACACATGTTTTATGGGATATCTATTTTGGTATTTTTGTGGGGCTTACTTGGATATGTGCTGGGATTGAAACAAATTATAAATATATATTATTAATAAATATTATAATGTGTTAGAGGTCAGTGTGCGAACTGAAAAGAAGGACAGTAATTATGCACAATGACTGACAACAGTTGGAGTAGGGTACAGCCCTATAGAGCGGGGAAGTGAGATCTGATCACAAGTGGTCACTTGATATGCATTCTAATGCCAGGTGTACTTAATAGCAATTTAAACTGTGGTATTTATGCCAGACTCCTTTCAAAGAAGATGACAAACTTTGCTGATGTTCCAGTAACACAAGATTAATCAAGTTACATGGTGGTTTTACAATGCCCGTCACTCAAATTGGGAATGCAGATGGAACTCATAACTGCTGCACTGTCAGGTGACTGTATACGGAGTCAGCAGAGCCCCATGCCAGAAATAACAATCGCCTTTCCATCCTGAGTGGTTTTTTTCTGTGTAATTACAAATGTCTACTTGTTGAAGACAGGACAATACTAGTGAAACATATAATATATGGATAAAAGGTGTTTATGTGCCTTCTGGGAGGTTTGTTTGTCTCCAGCAATGGAAGTGATGACAGAGTCTGAGCTGGTCTAAGCAAGCAGGCTAGCAGAGTTAACCAAAGGTAGTAAATCTTTGCAGCAAAACTAAACTGCGCTGCTAGATTGCCAGTGTCAATACCCCCTGCTGTGGTGAGTCAACAAGATATTAAACTACCTCAGAAAAATGCCAACAAAACAAGTACATAAATATTAAACTTCAGGGGAAAGCGTGGAGGAGGACCACCTTGACTAAACGGTTTCCTGGGGGAAACCCAGCAAGTTATGCCTGTACAAAAACAGAAGCTGTTAAGAGCATAAGCTTTAAAAAGGTCCAAAACTTTTCCACCACGATTAGTTAACCGCCCTGGTGATGGTTTCAAGATTCAACTTATTCGTCATTCATGCAACAATCAAGATTCAGGTTATTCACAGAATGATTCCACAGTACTGAACCAAGTGGCCAACAATCTTTTGTTTGTTTGGCTCTTTTGTTTGAAAGCACTAATTTTCACTGGACCATAACCAATGGCAATAAATAGTGAATAAACAGAGAACAATCTGTAGCCCAGCATCCAGCATCAAAATGACTCTTACAGCAACTGCACACTAGATCTTGCATGCAGGAGAACCCAATTCTTAAACTGATACTTAAACATACTACAAGGAGCCTCTACAATGCATATGAAGACGATTGGCTGTTACGATATAGTTATTCTCAATGCCTGCCACCTGCCGCTTTTGTCCATAGGGGTCGCCAGATTCAACACAAAATGAAAAGTTCCTCACAATTGCTTTGAATTTAAATGTATACTCTTTTTTCCTATTACACATACACTAACAGCAGTCAGTAGTTTAAACAGAGTTTGCTTACCAAAATGATGTAGCGCTAAACCATTTGTGCTTTCGCTTTTACCCTCCAGTAACTGAAAACATTTCCATAAACTGATCTCTGTCACTGGGTCTCTGTTTTCACTTTTTTTTTTTTTTTGCAACTTGAACGTGCCTACTGGGTTAAATTAGATACTTTGCATGCATGCTATTGTTCAAGAAAGGGAGCGTTACCCTCACCTGGCAGGCACAAAGCACAGAAAATAGGCAGACTGGGGTTATGAAGCTATATGAAAAAGGAAAGAGCTGAAAGAAGAGGCTGTATTTAATAATTTAGTTGTTATTTATGTTTGAATAGCTGTTTCCTGTTACTTGGCTTTCATGCCCACACTTTTCTCACAGTTACTCGCATAAAATTAGATTGCATTTGGGGTGGTAGCTGACTGTGGAGACTTTGGGAAATACAGCATTCTGCTGTATAATGAAGGAGTGAAACAGAGGTCTTGTTGTATTTCTAAAACAAACTCCAGTGACTGCAGCTGAGTATAAGAATATAATACAATACCAATTCATTTTAGTTCATTTATTTTTTTATTGGAATAGAAACAAAAGCATCAGATAGTCACTGATAAACAATTTTCACATCAATGTTTTTTTAAGCTAATTTGCAATGCTTGTCCCTCAAGGGTTTTTATTTTTATACATACACAAATACAAAAGTAAAATAAAAGTAGACGGTAAGTTTAGACATCTGATCTTCCATTACTACTTCACGGTCACTTCGGAAACCTGTTTGACCGGCTGTCCACTAACTTTCCACAAGTGTTTCTATTTACTCTTCAAATGTCACTTTACCCTCACATTAAACAGACAAGCAGTCATACTGAAAGAGAAAGTCAACGAGTTTGCCTAGACTTGCCAAATATGAGACAACATCTTAGACCCTTCAAAGAGATTGGGAGCAAATATGTAATCATCCCTGTGCTATGCCGACCTCTGTAGCTTTTCCTTCCTTCCTTTATTTGTGTGTGATCTCTCCTTTGAATCTTGATTTGCTTCATGACACAGTATGTGTTTTATGTCCTATACTGAAAGATTTGGTATCATTTAGGCCACGGCTTATTCAGCCACTTGGTCAAAACAGACACTTTCAAATGATTTGCCATTTGAAAGTGTCTCTGTTGAAAGTGTCTCTGTGAGGCCAACACAAAGGGGCAGTCCCACTTCCTCAGACGGCTTGCATGTTGGGGGATAAATATGTGTTTCAATTACAAGCTGGACAATCACACAGTCACGCATGCAGTCCCAATACAACAATCAAGTCACTGCAGCTGTGCAGAATCTCTTGTAAATCTTGGTGAAACATCTGCACTTCCCACACTACCAAGCCAGAATTGAATCCATGAATTCCTCCTCTGATTTGCAACATACTGATAGCACTTCATGTTTAACCACAAACTGAGACTGCAGGTCAATCCAAACCTGACGTTATGTAAACACTGTCAAGCAGAACAGGCCAAAACACTCTCCAATAATGACATGTTAATATTCAATAACACAGATCACATGGCACTGGTGGCCTGTCCTGTCTGTTCACTTCCTGTCTGGAGTCTTATGTTTGTCCACGCAGCTGTGTTGTACGGGGATGTTTATACTATAGCCCCAGCACTACTTGCATTAGACAGTTTAAAAATACATTGTGTATATGTGTATCTATTGGCTGATTTTTTTTTTTTTGTACTTAAACTAAACTTTTCAAGATTTTTTTAGAGTGGGGAGACAGAGGTGTAACCCATATGGTTACTAAGCCCAGTTACCAGCAGAGAAGCTGTTAAAAAATATAAATATTGCTTAAAAAGACAATTAAGTCTATTTATGTTAAAAATATGAGTTCATAATGAATAGTTAATAGTGTTAAAATAACTCTACTATAAGTGTGTACACTATCATTTACAATGATTTAAACTGTGTATGTACTGAATTTGATTATAAATATTCAGAGAATCAGAGTAGAAGAAGTAGAGAGTTAATATGAATATGGTATTAATGGAATGTGCTTTCTGCACTGTGTGTGTAGATTGGTTTTATTTTCTGCCGGCCAGGGATTGATCAGCACGAATTCTGAACCTTTCGGTTCAGTGGCGAGCCAGGCGATCGACAGGGAACGGAGAATGGGATCCACTCCAAAGACCACAGACTTCTACTCATTGCACTCTGACACAGATAAGAACGTTCACCACAAAATCTACCCGGGTAGTAGAAGGAACTGACAGATATACACACACCAAACACAGAACTGAACTTTATTCTTCTGATACAGAAGAAAAGGACACTTTTATTTGAACTTTGTTTTATTTATTTTTTTAAATTTATTTTTATAAAAGAGCTCTATTTTGTTTTTGGGGTTTTCCATTCCATGCGCTGCGAAATAATATTGATGGATGCAATAAATGATCACTGTTCAACTTTCACTCGAGTCCAACTTTCTGAACCTAGAGAATGTGGTTTCTTTCTAACATTGAGGTTAAAGGTGCCACAAGAGGTACGACATTGGAACAGGGGCCGTCAGTCATACACTTACAGTATATGATATAAATCTAAACCATGTTACCACCAAGATCACCCCTAACATTTTTTTTTAATCCCTTAAATATGTTTGTTTTTTTTTTTTTTTTTTTTAAAGAATTGTGACCAAGATATGTACTGCATGGAAACTGTTTAAAATATATTTTTTTCAATCTATGTAACATGGTCACTGTTTCTAAAATACCTAAAAAATGTCAGGATGACTATTCTTTTGCATATAGGCCTGTCGTCAATTTCTTTTTCCATTTGGATTCACTCCTCCCTCACATACTTTCCTCACTGTCATTATCGGGGGCTGAGCTGCTCTCAACAGAAGTCACATCGTCAGCCCCTCATCTTGATCCTGGCTTTTTAATTCTCAATCTCTGCCTTCAGTTCATTCGTGCTGCTGTTACCTGTGGCCCTGCAAACTTCCCATCACCGAGACTGGGCAGTGATGGGATGATGTGGAAGGACTCAATCTGTCGAACCTCCACGACCACACAGACAGATGAAAGCACGCTTTTATCATTACTCTCTCTATACACACTCTGCATTGTGTAGTGAGGTTGCCAACAGGAAGCCCAAACTAGTTAGATATGTCACCTTCAAAAAGTCCTTCATTCCTCACATTAACAAACATACAATATAACAGTGAAGGACAGAGTGGTGTCGGCATTACACGTTTTGATGAAAGTACCTACACTGGTATTGGATTTGTCTAAAATATATTCACAGCAATAATTGGGAATGCACCAATTGGGAAATGCTGTGCAGATACTGATAGCTTTTGGTTATATATTTGCCCTTTCGTGGCAGGGAAACAAAGAAATCTACAAAGATAAACCTATCTCTATTTCTCCTTTCATCCAAGACGCAGATGCATGGAGCACATCGTGATTGTGCCAATGCTGGAAAACAGAGTTGATCATTTATCCAACATCCAAGTGGGGAATAACCAACACGACATTCAGCCAGCCCAAAAATTGATAATCAGCGAGTGCCATCTTATTTACCAATGTCAGTCAAATCGAATAGGCAAATATCGGCCAATGCTGATGTTTGGCTGATATATCGATGCATCCCCAGCAGTAATGTCTGATGTAGGCATATCTGCTAAACTTAAGTTAACTTCAACTACATAACTACTTCTAGTCTAGTAGTGTCTACTAGTGTTTATAGACTGCAATGATTAATGCAGTACGTATCTTATATTGCACAAGAAGCCACCTCCTTGTAAGATAACCAATACATCCGCATTTATTATCTGTGACTGTTGTTCCAGGACAAACTCCCAAAACTGCCCTCAAGATCAGTTTTATATCCACATCCGTCTGTGCGTTGAATTCGTGGAAATCGTAATACAAACATTACAATTGTGATAAAGCACTCCCTCACTGAGAAAAGCTTCATTTGGAGCGGCAGGGAAGTCTGTGCTCAGATCTAAGCCACCAGACACAGACAAACCAAATCCTCACCACAGACTGTGGCGCCTGCGCAATGTATGGGAATATTTTAATAATTCAATCCAACGTTACTGTTCTAGTTATTATTCTTAAAAGACCTAAAAACGTCACAACACCGCCACTTCAAGGTTTATTTAAGGGTTTTAAGTGTGAGAGAGCAAACACAGAGAACATGTTAAATAAAATACAAGTGGAGCTGTGGTTCAGGAGTCCCGGACTAAAGGCTCAGACACAAACAACCTCCACTGCCACGGCAGAAACATCAGGATAGAACGCGGAAATATGGAACTATAATAGCTACATTAAACTGTGAACATGTATGGTTTAACTTGCCTAGTACGTCGGCCACCTCGCCATTTAATGAACAGTTACACAGCTTAAGTTACAACGTGTGACTATCCTACATATGGCTCGTCTCTGCCAATAAAAAAGAATCATAATGTGGAACTTACTCTACACGCTCCTCTAAAAGCAGAACACGTCTTTGACCGGAGGCACTGTGAAGACTGATGACTGTTTGGTCTGGTTAACCAGGTTATTCAACTTTCACTTTCGTTATGAGTCTCATACAGTTCGCACTTTGGACCAATGAAAGACATTATAGGCTACTCGTTAATCTGGCTTTGACACAGGTAATGCTTAACGTGTGAATATGGAGAACAAGAGATAAGGAGAGGTTGTCTTTGACTTAAAATAAGTCAGTCGTATGGACATTAAAAGCTAACCTTTCAAATGCACTGTGATACAGAGTCCCTGCTTTGGTTGCAATAACACGTATTTAAAACAGTGGATCTCAGTAGTTTGAATCAGTCAAATCAAGAGGATGTATTTGAATGTTTTTTTTAACATACAAATTCCTCTTTGTGTTTTGTTGGACAGTGCTTGAGCTCTTAAAAAACACACACAGCAATACAACAACAACCCATGGTCAAAATTGATTTTTAATGGTAATTTCCACTTGTGCCATTTCTTAATTTCATTTTTCTGCAGTGACTTACATCCAGCAACAGGAATTGGTATAGGATGCAAACAGAAATGTCTTGCATCATAACACACGTTAAAAATAGACACCACAGGAATTACAGTTCATGTAGGTCTTCTTGGGTGACAGCTGGCCGACACAGCAGTCACACACAGCAGCCACACACGTGGACTCAACAAGACAGAAGCAGGAGGGAGTTTGGGATTTTGGTTTAAATAATGTGACATGAAATGTTCTAAAAGAATGTTGTATATTTCCAGTGAGAAAATATAGAAGGAAAAAAAAAAAAAAAAGGCTGAGCTGTCATAAGGTCACTTGTCAAATCTAGGATGGGTTTACCAGAAACAGTGAAGTGTCAGGACCAACAACATTCCATTAACTCACACTGGAAAAAACTAGGTCTTGATGGCCTACTGGTAGGATCCGACTGGGGAAACCCAACCTTGTTTGATATTGTAGCCTAACATACAAACAGGCACACTTTATTTTAGAGTAAATTTTACCTATAAAAACATGGGGTACTCAAACCTGGCACTGGGGTTACAATAATCTAAGGTTAGTGACTACAATATAAAAAAGGCTTTTTCCAATTCTGTTACCTGACATGGGACCTACAGTAATCATCTGAAGACAAATGTTTGCATCCTTCAGATCACAATGACAGTAATTTATGTGGCTCCTATGTGGATCATAATAATAATAATCATAATCATAATAATAATAATCAGTAGAAATATTCCAACTTCATGCAACAACAATACAACAATTGTTCCACAAAATGCAACTAACAAAGGTTAAATTAAAAAAAAAATCTTCACAGTTATGTTTCTTCTCACATTCATACATTACAGACCAGACGTGCATGCAAGATGGGTCAGAACCGAACACAGTGCAAAACTGACAGCTTTTTTCTTTGCCTGTGTCCTAGAGACTTGCTCGTGTAATCACCTACAGCTTGTGCTGTCGCAATAAAGTTAGGAGATATTTACCATTGGTTGATATGAAAAATGTGATCCTTGTACCCTTTCTGGCAGGTCTAATGCATCACAGGGGCAAAGGCAGACTTTGAACCATGTAATTAGAAATACATAAAGTGCTTCTGTCAAACAAACAAACAAACAATAAAAACAGTACAAAACAGTTTTCAAAAAAGAGGTATCAAAACAATGCACTTGGGGATGTGGAGGAGACTGGTGTCTGTTGGACATCAGATAGGATTCCTGCGGTACAGACAAATGGGCTGGGGGTTCCTTGTTGAAGAAATAAAAGATGAGTTCAGAGATGATTGGATGTAAGGAGGGGCAGTCGGTTGGGATTCAGCCGAGGATGAGGCTGGACTTGCCCCCAGGAGGATTCCTGCGGCCGGATGGTAGTCCTCCAGCGGAATCCTCAGCTGGAGGGGCCTCCTCTTGCTGCCCTGGAACCGCTTCTGGCTCAGCAACACTGTTTTCTGAACACAGGCAGAGAGACTTGATTATAAGTTACATTTTCACTATAATTCACTATAATCATCATGTCATGGGAAATGGGAGCACATGCGACCAAAATTTTTAAGAGTGCGACTAATAATTTTTCTAGGTCGCACTGGCGCACCTGACGCTGTGTGAAAACATAAATTTCGCAAGCGCATCATCTCTGTGTTCTCCTGTGACCGAACTCACACACTCATGGTAGGATCATATCGTGTTCTAAACCAATAAGAGACAGAGCTCGGGCGGGTCTTTGCCTCTGATTGGCTGTGGTCCTGTTCACCGTGCTAAATTGTGTGTGTGTGATATTCCTTCAGACAGGACTGGCTGAAACAATTTCCCTGGCTGAGGTACAACAAAGGATGTAACGCAATGCACTGTGTGTACTGTCAGGAGTGCGGTCAGAATGTGGCCAGAAATAGTGCATTTGTGAGCGGGTCAACAACATTTCGTATCGAACTTTTATTTCGAAATGTTTTATTTTGCTTAGTGTTTTAGTTTGAAATGTTGTTTCAATTTCAGCTCAGTGAAGCACTTTAAACACTTTATTTTTCAACTATTTTTCTTTTTATATATATAATTGTGCTTCAAATAAAGACAAGCATTTCTCTACACCTTATTCTTGTTTAAAAATCATTCACATCAGGCTATATGAAAGTTATGGAGAGCGATAAAAAGGTGACCTTATGACGTTAAAGCAACGCAATGAAAAATTTGGGTGCACCTACATTTTGTGCTGTTGCACCTAAAAAATAAAGTTAGGCGCACCAGTGCAACCAATGCAAAAGGTTAGTCTGGAGCCCTGGAGCGTACCACGGCTAAAACATACCGATGACAGATAGAGTCTGCGGACATCCCGGGTGAAAAGAGCTTTTCTGCAAGTTTGTTTGCATGTTGAACAGGCGCTTTAATAAGCCTGATTCAAATAAAGGTTATTTATAGATAATCTCTTCGCTCATGACAACAGCACACCAATTTTTTTTTTCTTTCCCAGGGTGGTGGAGTCATGACCTGGGATTGAATTTTTATATAACTCGCCCATTTGAATTATATTAAGGCCTAAAACCCTATTTGCAGAAATGTAATCTGGTATTCATAGGAATGTTTCCATTAGTGTACGATCACTTGAACATAGGAATTGCTGTGTTCTTTACCCTAGAATAAGCCAATGCTGTCTAAAGATGCCGCGGGTCGCCTTTTCCTGGAGTCCGCCATGTTGAACTGCCATGTTTTTACAGTAGCCCAGAAGGGACAAACCGAACACTGACTATAGGGGCGTTTGCGTTTTGTGGCCAATATAGTGTTCATGCTTGAGAGGGTGAAGCGTGGCAATCTGCAACTACACTGCTAGATGCCACTATAATCCTTTTATTGTCTTTCCTCCTTTTTCTTTGAGGTGCAGGGATTGTACCCATTATGTTAAAAATGACTGTAGAAATCTGCCAACCGGTAGGCTACAAGGAGATACAACAGGCTACCCATGTACTATAAAACTGGGTGATGTGACCTGAAAAAGAGGTGCTTACCAATATCACGTACAGAATTGTCTCCATCCTAAAAAAAAAAAAAAACAGCAAAAAAGAAGTGTTAAGTATTTCACTAGCCTTCACAGACTGAAAAACAGGAAATTCTGTACTACGTCATCGGTGATGATGAACGCACTTAAAAGTCATTTGGTAATTCTTGGTAATTGCTACACAAGCTACCTTTGTGAGACATTAAGGGAAGATGAAGAGAAAGTGCTTTAAATTATCTGGACTTCACTTGCTTCCCTATAAGTTTGTCTGCTCTCAGGTTTCACTTCATTTCTTCTCACAACTCATGATCTTACTGAGGCCGGGGCGTCTGCAGAGTGGTTGGTGGTGGGGTTCCCTCCTCTCCTCAGGGGGGCTGACGGCTCACCACACAGTACCCCTGTGGGCTTCCCACCTGAAAGAAGATGGAGACATAATGGCTCAGAGAGACAGGCCTTCATACAGGAGGTGCAAGACAAAATATTTCTCCATGTTTATATGATGAGAAAAATGCCATGGTGACATACAGTATGTCATATCATTACAACATTGTATTTTTTTCTTCCAAAATAAGTTGGGCTAACCTGGGAATGTGTGTATGATCAACTGACCGCTCACGTTTCTTGTCCCAGCTAATTTTTTTCTGTGTGACACCTGTTCAATAGGCAACAGTATTGTTTTCGCCAGACCACAACAGTTGGGGCAAGCTGTGTAGTATTATGTGTATTCATATTGTGGCCATATTAACCATGTCCCCTACTTACTAAGACAATAATTGAACAATTTGTTTTTTACTTGCTCAATAGAATATTTGAGAAAGATTTCTTAACATTTTTATGTTAAATGGAAATCTGCCAATACCTGTACCAAATTTCATGGCAATCCATTCAATAGAAGTTGAGGTATTTTAGTCTGGACCAAAGTGGGGGTACAACTGGCCGACAAACCAACGTCCGCATTCCTCTGCATTGCTAGCATGTATAACGTTAGGGATTGTTTGAAAGCTTCACCAGTGGCAGATGAAACTGCATCTGAATTATACAAACAACAGTATCTAGGGATTATAGACTGAAACCGGCAATGAGGAAAAGTAACTCATATTTTCTGGTCATCACAGAAAGTACATGTGCTATGATGCAATCTTCATACACAGAGGAAACAGGAAGAAACTCACATTTCCTCATAATGTTAACGATAAATGCTAAAGCATCCTTGTGTCCGGAGTGTGGGTAATTTCCAGAATTGTATTTATCCATAACTAGGGATCTTGTATCTTAGGAAAACCCCAGACAATTGCAGTCCACTGATGCCATGCCCTAAAGCTCATGCTCCCACACACTTCCTACTCAATTCCTATTGTGCGTTAGGGAAATATCAGATTTGGGAATTTTCACTTTCATATTAAATGTCATTATTACAACAACTCTTTATACTGGTGTCGCTGTGATGTGCTACTGTGTAGGCCTTTCCCCTCAGAATGGGAAGTTTTGCTATGCTTTAATTTTCAATCTCCTCATTTACAGGTGTATTGTCGTAGTATCTCAGTGAATCAAGCCATTACATACACAGAGGAAACAGGAAGAAACTCAAATATCCTCATCATGTTAACAATAGATGCTACATCACTCTCATCTCCAGAGTGT